CCATTGAGAGGCGCGGGATATCGTCATCATCATCAGTCGTGATATAGCCACTGCTGGCTTAAAGGCCATCTCAGACCAGCGTCATGCGCGCATGCAACCAGCCACCCAGGTGATGCACCCCAGTTGATCCCATCGCAATGAGCTCAGCGGTTTGCACGGACGCCCTCTCGGGCGAGTTATCGCCTGTGACTGAGAGCCGCGACATTGTGTGCGCGTGTGTGCGTCTCTCTCCCCGTCCGTGTGTGGGTATGTCTGTCTCCGTGGTGTCTGTCTGTCTCGGTGTTTTCGTGTCTGAGCTCTCCGCGTGTGTCTCTGTATCTCTGTGTCCGTGACTGTCAGTGCCTCTCTCCGTCTCTCGGTTTCTGTGTCTCTGTATGGCTATCTCTGTCTCTCTCTCTCTCTGCGTCTCTCTCCGCGTCTCTCTACTGGACATCTGTGAAAAAGAGCTTCATAGCTCATCGGATTCCTCCAGTCTAAATGAAAATTCTGATTCCATCTGTCCGTCCGTCTGCGTTTCTCTCCGCGTCTCTCTCTTTATGCGTGTCGGTGTTTCCCCTTCTTTCATGGCCACGGTGTTGTTTTGACGAATCGCCCATCCAATTGCTATTCAGGCTCGAACGCTGCTTAGCTTCCGAGCTCTGACGAGTGTCGGTCGCGTTCCGGGTGGTGTGGCCAGCAGCCACAATGCGCAACGCTTGCATACGTCACACATCCAACAAAGACAAAGATCCCCCGTATAGCCTTAACAGACTATTGGGGCAAGTGGTATTAGCGAGTAGCACCTATGAAGGCCGGCACGGCACACGAGACACACACACACACGTGGCCGAGCTAGGAAGTTAGGATTCCAAGAGGCGATCTAGCAATACATGCAGACAACACAGTGCTCTGCCTGCTGTGGTAGTAAAGACATGAGATCACCCACACTCACACGCGTGGGTGAATAGGTAGAGGCGCTGCCCTGCAATTGTTTGCTCACGTCACTGCTGGCGGGAGTGCCTCGGCTACAGCGAGCTCTACAGAGCCACTCTAGAGGGCATTTGGCCTGCTCTACCTCACTGGCCGGCTGTCTTGGTAGAGGTGGGAGTAACCACACTTTAGTCCACCGCATGCACGACCTGCCGATCGACTAGCTATAAAATGTAACACGATTTTTGTTCCTGGGTAGTAAGTGTTATTTTCTAATTGCTTATGCCTCAAAAGTATATAAAATGGCTATTATTCCCTACAAACTTTGCTTTTGTGACCAGGACTTTACGTGAAGGAATGACACAAATGCACACCACGTCTTCTCAATGAAAATATGTACATTTCAAAATATTTCTGTCCTGGTCACAAAAGCAAAGTTTGTGGGAAATAATAGCCATTTTCTGTACTTTTGAGGCATAAGTAATGGGAAATAATGGTTTTGTTCCACAGTAGCTATCAGCATCAGAATCTTTGTTTATGCTGGAGGAATCCGATGAGCTATAAAGCTCTTTTTCACAGATGTCCAGCAGAGGCAGATGAGAACGTTACAACAACAAACAGTACAACACCCACAAGAGGAGTGGGAGGGTATAAGAAAGGTAAACAAATAACTTGTTTAAAAATAGATGCAAATAAAACTAAATATTTTTTTTTATCTTACCAGGTAGCTATAGAGCCTACGAAGCAATTAGCTCAATTTTCGATCTGGCCACACATATTAACGGAACGAAGTGGATCATTATCCCATGGAAATGTATATCAGCCAAATAATCTAAACGCACGTTGGTTCTAAATGTGGAGGGAAAAATCGGAGGACCCGGAGAATAAATCGACGCGACCACGGGGAGAGAGAGAAACACGCAAACTCCAAATATACAGCAGCAGGCATCAGGGTTGGGATCGAACCCCCGAATCCTGCATACCAGACGAGGAATATAGCGTCACATCACTGTGGTGTCCTTTAAATAAAAAAAAGAGTATGGAGACAGGAGGGGGTCGATTTAAGAATGTTATGTTCCTGCCGCGGCAGGAGATCGAACCGACGACCTCAGGATCGCAGGTCCAGTGCGATAACCACGCCACCACCGAACAGTAATTCACATTTGTAAATGACAAAGACAAAACCACAACAGAAACAAATATAGTTCGGGATCCCAGAGGCATTTAGCAGCAGCAAACATTGATGACTGTACCGTACCGATGAGTACTAATGAGGACGAAACCGGTCCGTCTTTGTTTCCCCGCTACCGACAGTTTCTAGACTATTTGAGTCAGCGGTCTGAAGTGTCTCTCAACGACGCAATGGTCACACGTTCAGTTCCTTTGAGCTGATGGTCTGGATGAGGCTGAGACCTGTTTTTAGACGCAACGTGCATTTCCGTGCATTGTTAAATCTATCACAAAAATGGACAATACGGTTAATTTTACGTGCAGCTTTTCACGACCAATATTACAATTCATAATGAATTTTGATTTAAAGCTTTCGTGACTGCAGTAATTCGTATTCTTAGTTTTTTCGGTAAAGTCACGTTGAAGGGAAACAACAAAATAATAAAATATATATAAGAAAAAACTAAGGATATAATTCATAATGAGTTTATTTTGTGTTAGATCTTCGTGTGGGTGTAATGTCAACTTGTGTCTAAAAACCCTCCACCACCTGACAGAGTCAATCAAATTTAGTTGTCACCCCATGGGCAAACATGCACCGATTATTTTGTTTTGATTCATCAGCAAAAGCGGAGCAATGTTGAGAAGCGAGCAAGATCTTTTACTTTATTTTTGTACGTCCAACATCATCATCGTCAGGTGTTGACACGCGCTCAACGTGATTGTTGACGTTTATTTGATTTGTTACAGGGATAATGCCGCACTCTTACCGATAACTGTTAACTACCTCCCGTGGTATACAGGAGGTTGTGGGTTCAATCCCAACCCTGACGCCTGCTGCTGTATGTTTGGAGTTTGTGGGGTCTCTCTTCCCGCGGTCGCGTGTATTTTTCTCTGGGCCCTCCGGTTTCCCCCCTCCACATTTGCAATCAACATCACGCGTTTAGAGTCTTTGGCTACTGCTGTAAATGTCCACCGTGATGATAAGCCACTTCAACGAGCTATCATGTGTGGCCAGGTCGCTTCTGAAAATAAAAGAGCTACATAGCTCAGTTGGCCTTACGTGGTAGAAGAACACGTTTTAAATCAACAAAAAGATTAATTTCATTTGGAACTCACCACCACCACCGTGACGCGGATGTGTGGTGCCGTAACTGTTTCCCCTTCTCCTCCCTGCGCAGTCACCACCGAAGTGGCGCGGGAAGCTTGCATCACGGACAGCCATCAAACCCTGCGGTGACTGTGATGAGCGAACAGCATCGCGGCAGAATACTACGGCGCAATCCGGAACACCGGAACGTTTCAAAACGCGTGACGATGACTCACTCCGACGTTGTGCATTGTGCAAGGCCGTCAACGTGATTCTCACCGTGTCACCTCGGTGCTTTATGAAATAATTCATTTCATTTTGATGTTGAGCTAAGGCATGGGGACCACAATGCACTTCTTCAGGAATTCCTGGTGGTTGTTTGCATAATGCAAAAAGGCTGAGTGATATTTACACGTCTTTCTTTGTTACGTATGGGGGATTCGTGGTGATGCTTACAGCGTGCAATAACGTTGTGTGTAATATGTACTGAATATGAAATGATGATTAAAATTACAGTCATATCCCGGTCCACGTCGGGCATGCGTTCCTGGCAGGTGCGACGACGAATTTCGAAACGTCAATCAAAGCGATGTACAGGGTAGTCGTCGTAGTAGAGGGTGGTGGTGGTGGTGGCGGAGGGCGGAGAAGCGACGGATAACGAGACAGGAGGGACGATGCTGTCAACGACGTAAGTGTGGAGGTTGAGGCGACGCAAAATCACGTAGAGGTTTGTAGCACTTAATAATAAAGTGACAACGTATTTGCGAAACGACGTAGAAGGGGGAGTCGTACATCGGTGTATCCCTGTAGCACGAACATGGACAGCCGTACACCTGGCACTCTCTCGTGGCATTTCCTTATCGCAGTTTATTGTCCTTCCCCGCACCTCCGATTAGCGCGGCCGGCTACGCACAGCGCGAAAGAAGTTCAACATGCACGCACAGCACACACGTACGCACAGCACACACGCACAGCACACACACACGCACAGCACACACGCACGCACAGCACACACGCACGCACAGCACACACGCACGCACAGTACACACGTACGCACATTCCGACTCCAAACCGATCCCGAGGAGCGTTCCCGGAAAAGTGCCGCGCGAGAGACGTTCAACGCCCAGCGGTGAGTGCGCGAATTCACGCACGCGCCAAGCCGCATGCGAGCCGGCGCCTCGAGAACCCTCGAGGCCGAGGAGCATCCTCATCCTCATCCTCCTCCACTCCGCAATTGCTCGCCCTCTGGCCGCCCGCTCGCTGCTGCAGTGATGACGCGGCTCTCTCGAGAAAGGGAGCAGCTCCCACCCCGAACTCTGCAGCAACCACCACCACCACCACCCCCCGCCCCCATTCGCCAAGGCTCTCTGCCCACTCTCCCTTCCCAGTATATTGCTCTCCAAAAAATATTGCCCGAACAGACTGGTGGGGCAAGTGCTGTTTGCGAGCGCCTATGAAGGCCGGCACGGCAACACGAGAGGGGTGGGTGGCCAGCACCACGCCCGACCGCCTTTGTCTCCCCACTGGCGATGTTTCACACACCAATTTGAGGCTGAGTCGACCTAGGCGCGGCCCATGACCGCATCAGATAATTACCGTCACTGGTGTTGGCCGCGAGCGGGAATCCAATTTTGGTCACCGGTTTCGTAGCGCAGCGTAGCGCTCACCACTACACCACCGCCACTCTCATCTTACGAGCTCCCCTCCCTCCCTCGACCACTACCAATATCTGCCATCGTCAGCAGTAAGCCCCCCCCCAACCCCCCGCAGGGCCCCTAGACCCCCCCCCCCGCCCCCTCATAACTCTGGCACGCGCGCGAGGAGCGACCACTCCCCTCTCTGTTGCTCGTGAATCGATCCGTGATGGATTGATGTCTCCAAATGCTGATGCGCCCGCTCGTCCCATATATAAGCGACGCGCCCGCCGTGCCGCATTCGACGCAGCCAGCGAGACGAGAAGACCCAGCCCAGCCACAGCACAAGACCAGCCCGCCCCGGCACTCCTAAAGGTACAGAATTTCGCCCTAGACTCGGTAAGACGACTGCTCGAAGGGTGGTTGGTGGTGGCGGCGGGCGGCGCAGTGGTTTTGCGCGCCCGGCAACCTGAATTCGATTCCCGGCCACGGCTAACATCGGTGGCGAGTGGGTATGTGACCGGGTCCTGCATTTCGGCCCCCACCCTGTGCTGACCAGCGTGCTGAAGTCTGGTTAAGCAACCACCCGCCCCCCCCCCCCCCTCTATGGGCCGACGCGGCGTGCGGAGGCCTTCATCCAGCAGTGGAGTGACACGAGGAACTACTGCGAATGGTTGGTGATTGTTACGTCTTAAAGGGAGGAGCCGAAAACGGAGTCTGTGCAGAGCAACCGGAGTCCTCCTCCTGCTCCGCGCGTCTCGCCGTCAGTGGCTCCGGGCGTGGCCGCCACCGCGCGTGACCGCGACTGGGCGGCCCAGCGGTCGCGCGCTCGTCGCTGATAGCGGGGGGGGGGGGCTCTCGCCCCCCACACCTCACTAGTGGCGTGGTAAAATACACTACCAGCTCAGGGGGGGAGGGGGGGAGGTGCAATCTGTCAGGTAGGGCCCCAAATACTGCTCGAATAACAACAACACGCGGAACGTAACTGGGAGTATTTTCATAACAAAAATGAATAAACCGCGTTTTAGATAAGCGCTGTTGTAATTTTACACTGTTGATGAAAACAGATCTCACGGTGGTTGTCACGGGGGGGGGGGCAACTCGTAGCTTTGGCCACCAGTTGGGGCGGGGGGGGGGGGGAAGGCACCCCCTGCCTGCCCCACGCTAAGTTACGCGACTGCCCACGACCTTCTCTTGCTTCTTACACCTCTCACGACTCTGTTCCATCCCGCACTCTCCGCTCCCGATCTCTAACCACGCCGAGTCGCCTTGTGCCCCACAAGGACAGCTGCCACCGGGAGTGCCCCTTTTTCGAAATGTTTGAGATGAGATGTCAAGCGCTCTGAGACTCCCAGGCTTATATATCATCATCACTATCTCGATTTAAAGCTTTCGTGACTGCAGGGATTCATCTTCTTGGTTCTTTCGGTAAAGTCACCACGTAGAAGGGAAATAATAAAATAATAATAAAACATAATAAAATAAAATTCTCACGACGTTTCGGCCACAACACAAGTAGCCTTCGTCAAGTAACCTTCGTCATGATACTTGTGTTGTGGCCGAAACGTCGCAAGAATTTTATTTTATTGTGTTTTATTTTTGTTATTGTATTTCCATTCTACGTGGTGACTTTGCCGAAAGAACCAAGAAGATCATCACTATCGTTAAACTCCTCAATATTTAATTCTCAGAAGTTAAGCAGAACCGAGCCTGGCTAGCACTGTACTTGCATGGGAGACTGCCAGGGAATGCCAGGCGTTGTTGTTGGCTTGGGCTGCTTAGGTAGCCAAAAGATTATGTATATCAGTGACGGATTGTTGAATCCATCTGTGCGGGGCCGATGGCATTTGCCCTCTGGTATGCGTGAAGGGGTTTTATCCGGTTTTCTCCTACTTTAAGTCAAATATTAATGAATGTAAATGGCCAAACATCCCAATGTCGCATCAGGAGGACCCTGGCGAATGAAGAGTGAGACAACGATATCATGCTGGGGTTAATAATTGGCATCATCATTATCCATCCTACCTAAAACGAGTAGCAGACAGCATTGTGTTCCGAGACAGCGCCTGGTGGGTCACATCAATGCGCAATAGCCGGAGCGGGAAAAAACAAATATTGCGCAGTGATCGAGATGATAGTGATCATGATCAAGAGTGTTTCTCAACACCGCGCAGACGCGAACTTAACCCCACGCAGCAACAGCAGCAGCACGCGGTGCTCGCGTGAGTGACTTTCACACCGAGCTCTCTGTGCGTGCGCGCGGTCTTTTAAGACCTCTCTCGTTGAAGCACAGGAGTAAGACAAAGAAAGAGGAATGGACGCGCTGAAGAAAGGTTTCTCCAAGGCGAAAGAGGGCGTGAGCTCTGCCGCAGAGAAGACCAAGCAAGGCGTGACGGACGCGGCCGGGAAAACCAAGGACGGAGTCGTGGCCGTGGGTAAGGATGGCGCGCGCACCCCCGCACGGGAACAGCGGGACACGCGCTGTGATCTCCCCTGAAATATCTACTCGACGTCTGTGACAAGAAGGAGCTTCGTAGCTAATCGTATTCCTCCAGTGTAAATACACGTGACAATGGGCTTGCATAATGCGCATGCATTAGGGACGTTGGTTACCATGTTAAAAACCCAACCGGCAATGGATACCCATTGTCATTTATATGAATTCAAAAATCCCCCGCCACACTTCGCTCAAGAAGGGCTCCAAGGAACGGAACAGGAGGATTGCTCCACAAATGTGGCTGTCGCCTGATGAAGCAAGTTGTAATTACTGGTGAAACGTCGTACTCAGCTTGTAAATGTTGTGGCTTTGCTCTCCAACACACCGGTGTGCTGTACTAGTGACGAATTGGCCACGTTCTGTTTACGTGGCAAAGTTTACTAATTGGCTGTGTCGGGTGGTGGCGGGTTTAACGACACATTTATATATTTACGCGATCTAATCCAAAACAACCTGTATTATGGATGATATTGGGCTTCGTGTTAAACCGATACCTATTCTGATTGATTCTGATATACCATCGTCATCGTTTACTGTCCATCTCTCCACGCTGTGTTAATGTATCGAGATGTTAACGCCCTCGCCTGGTCTACAGGAGGGCGTGGGTTCGATCCCGACCCTGACTGCTGCATATTTGGGAGTTTGCCTGGTCTCTCTCCCTGTGGTCGCGTGGATTTTTCTCCGGGTCCTCCGATTTTGAATCAACACGCGTTCAGAGTATTTGGCTGCTATAAATGTTCCACGTGATGGTAAACCACTTTTTTGAGCTATCATTTCTAATATCCAGGTCGTCGCAATCTGAAAAAAGAGCTTTATAGCTCAGTTGACCTTACCTGGTAAAATAAAATATAGTTTAGTGTCGGTCATCGGCGTTGTTTGACCATACTTCACCACGATGGTCAATTTGGAGTTGGTTAAGCGTGAAAGGTGGCAGGGTGGTGGGGGGGGTGGGATGACAGACGCGATCTGGTTAGTATTCATCTCTGACGTTATTCGTGGGCGGGAATCGAACTCAGGTGGCTGGGTTCAGAGTGCACTGCTGCACGGCGCCCCCACCGGGGCAACGTTTCTCGGGAGCCAAAGCCCCCCCAAAGAATCTCCTGTGCAGCGGCGTAACCTGTCTCGGTACGCAGGCGGTGCCACTGCACCGGGGAGCCACAGGCCGGGGGGGGGGGGCCCAGGCGCCAGGGCTACGAAGAGGGGGGGGGGGCGATTGGACAGCGCCCCCCCCCCCCCCCCCCCCGGCCCATGCTAAGCAGGCCCAGGGATCCGTGTCACCATTCCCACTGCAGCAGAGCAGTGGGAGTTGCTATGGAGCATGGCGTAGGCAAGTCGCTTGTGAACAAGAAGCCAATGGCTCAGTGGGGCTTGAAAATTTAGTTTAGTTGTTATTTGTGTGTATATTTTTTTAATTATTTGATTGCCTGTCCTATACCTTGCACTCCTATCGTGCTTCTGTACTGTTTGTTGTTCTGACGTTCTGACCCCGTGCCCCTTACTGGATATCTGTGAAAAAGAGCTTCGTAGCTCATCGGATTTTCCCTGCAGTATAAATAGTGGCAAGTGAAGGCACCTTAGAATAATGTAAAGTGTGCCCTCTGGGTGTATGGTGGTTCTCGCTGGGTAGTGCTCGGATGGGTGACCACCAACAGCAGTCATAGGACTGCGCGGCTCCGTGGGTATGTATGTGGAACTTCTTTCGCACCGCACAAAGCCAACCGTGCCAATCACGAGTGCGGGAGAGCAGAGGGTAGTGCCGCATAACCAAGTTGTTGTACTGTACTATACACTACCGCGTCTATGCCTCCCCCCCCTCTCCCCCCACAATAACGAACTCGCAGTGACCAGTGTGGGGAAGTATGGTCTATAAGTCGCTGCACGGTGTTGAGACGTCCTCATTAGCACAGGGGACTGACGCAAGGGCTGGCGACACGAGCGCGTTCACGGATTGTAATTCTGTGATGTCATTTCCAAGTTCAATTTTTCTTATATTTTGATTTGTATTTACGGCACGAATAATTGTTTATCCTGTTTACAGTACGTTCTTGCGTAGGTTTCATGGACATTATTTGGCTTTGCTCTTGTTAATTTGCACGTATTCACCCTGCAATGTTCTTAACTATAGCCACTGCTGACGGTCTATGGATCTCCATGTAATTCTATGGATCTCTACGTAACCATATTTGATCTCTACGTAACTCTATGAATCTCTACGTACCTCCATGGATCTCTATGTAACTCTATGGATCTCTACGTAACTATTTTTGGTCTCTACGTAACTCTATGAATCTCTACGTACCTCTATGGATCTCTACGTAACTCTATGGATCTCTACGTAACCATATTTGATCTCTACGTAACTCTATGAATCTCTACGTACCTCTATGGATCTCTACGTAACTCTATGGATCTCTACGTAACTCTATGGATCTCTACGTAACTGTGGATCGCTACGCAACCATATGGATCTCTGCGTAACTTTATGGATTTCTATGTAACTCTATGCATTTCTACCTATCTCTATGGATCTCTATGTAACTCTATGGATCTCTATGTAACTGCCAGCACTGTCGACAGCGTTGGGCTGTGTCCCTTCTTGTGACGGAGCTGCCGAGCTCAGTGATAAACTCCCGAGTCTGGGAATGAAGGAGGGAACGCCGCAACGGCCGGTCACGGGAATTCCGAGCGGACCTTTCCTCCGCTCTCAAAGCGACACGGCCAGCAGCAAGTTCGGTAGGGGAGTGGGGGGGGGGTTACGTTGAGACGTAGGCAAGAAAATATAAACAAAAAATATTAATGAATATAACGCGGTGACGCTCGCTGCAGGGCAATTGCGTCACCGGAGTGTGGCGAGGGCAGGGGTGATGTGCATGGCTCAGGGCGTGGCGCTGCGATCAGATTAAAATAAAATAAAAACGGACTGCGAGGGGAATTGCCGATCGTGAAAGATGGTCTCGTACTAGAGTCGCCACGTGTCTCGCCTCCCTGGTGCCCGCAGGCACCAAGACCAAGGACGGCGTGGCTCACGGAGTCAGCACCGGTACGGCGACTCATCTCATCCCCGGCTCACCGCACGTCTCCCTCACGACACCAGTGGGGGGAGGGTCGGCGATCTGCGCATCTTGAGCCGCACGCGGCTGAGGGCTTGCATTCGCCACGTTATTTATCAAGGACCGCCACCCAACCTTCTCGTATTCGCCACAATGCATTGGCGGCTTTTGAAATATTGATGGGGTGTTTTTGTTTTAAATATTTGACAACCGAATCCGAAACTAAATATTTGGCTCTTCTTGGTTCTGTAATTTGGCTGCCGGCCCTCTGCACTCGACGATTCGTCATTCAGGCACCTGAGCTAAACGGGACACGTGGAGTGGCACTGCGGTGGCAGGGCTGCGCAAACAGACGCACACACAATGAAAACCACGAGACATATTTGTCAACCCCGCACGAAGGGCACCGCGGTGGCTAGGAGATGTTAGCTACCTCGCCTGGTATTCAGGAGATCGTGGGTTCGATCTCAACCCTGACGATGCCTGCTATATATTTGGAGTTTGCGTGTTTTCTCTCTCCCCGTGGTCGCGTGGATTTTTCTCCAGTTCTTCCCCCACGTTAATAAACACGCGTTTCGAATATTTGGCTGCGATGAATTTCCACGTGAGCGGCTACTTCATTGAGCTATAACTTTTGGCCAAGCCGCTTCTGAAAAAGAGCTACATAGATCAGTGGGCCTTACCTGGTGAAATATAAATAAATGTTTAGACTTTGGATAGTTTATGAGCGGCATGGTGAAGAATGATGAAACATCACCCATGACCCAAAATGGCGTGGGGAGGCCCTCATCCAGCAGTGGATTAGCAGTACTGGAATATAGATGGCGTGGGTGTCTGGCGTGGTTGCCGTGGTTGTCTGGCGTGGTTGCCGTGAGTGTCTGGCGTGGTTGCCGTGGGTGTCTGGCGTGGTTGCCGTGGGTGTCTGGCGTGGTTGCCGTGGGTGTCTGGCGTGGTTGCCATGGGTATCTGGCGTGGTTGCCGTGGTTGTCTGGCGTGGTTGCCATGGGTGACTGGCGTGGTTGCCGTGGCTGACTGGCGTGGTTGCCGTGGCTGACTGGCGTGGTTGCCGTGGGTGTCTGGCGTAGTTGCCGTGGGTGACTGGCGTGGTTGCCATGGGTGACTGGCGTGGTTGCCGTGGCTGACTGGCGTGGTTGCCGTGGCTGACTGGCGTGGTTGCCGTGGGTGTCTGGCGTAGTTGCCGTGGGTGTCTGGCGTGGTTGCCATGGGTGACTGGCGTGGTTGCCGTGGGTGTCTGGCGTGGTTGCCGTGGGTGTCTGGAGTGGTTGCCATGGGTGACTGGCGTGGTTGCCGTGGCTGTCTGGCGTGGTTGCCGTGGCTGACTGGCGTGGTTGCCGTGGCTGACTGGCGTGGTTGCCGTGGGTGTCTGGCGTGGTTGCCGTGGGTGACTGGCGTGGTTGCCGTGGGTGTCTGGCGTGGTTGCCGTGGGTGACTGGCGTGGTTGCCGTGGGTGACTGGCGTGGTTGCCATGGGTGACTGGCGTGGTTGCCGTGGCGACGCTGTCACCGCAGTGGCCGGCAAGACGAAGGAGGGGGCCCAGGCGGTGGGGGGCGCCGTGGTGAGCGGCGCCAACGCCGTGGCCACCAAGACGGTGCAGAGCGCCGAGAACGTCGCCTCCGCCGCGGGGATTCACGCCAAGGAGCGCAAGGTGGGGGGAGGGGGGCACGGGGTGGGGGGGGGCACGGGGTGGGCGGGGGCACGGGGTTGGGGGGGCACGGAGTGGGGGGGCACGGGGTGGGGGAGGGCACGGAGTGGGAGGGGCACGGGGTGGGGAGGGGGTACTGGGTGGGGGGGGGCACGGGGGGGGGGCACGGAGTGGGGGGGGCACGGGGCAGGGAGGGGGGTACTGGGTGGGGGGGGGGGCACAGGGGGGGGGCACAGAGTGGAGGAGGGGATCAGGGTTGGGGTGGCCCAGGGTGAAGGGCGGGGGCATGGGTTGGCGTGGGAGGGGGGCTCGGGGGGAAGGGTGGGGAGTGGCCCAAGTTAATGTGTGTGTGGGGGGGGGGGGGCACGGTGCGGGGAGGACAGGGAACACGAGGGGGGGGGCAGTTTGCCCTCTGCCTCAGATCTGGAGGGGACTTCGTCTGACACAACCCGCCGACCGGCTTTCAAAACAACAAAAATGCTGCTTCGTGTTAGAGCCCAGAAAGCGCGTTCATAGCAGCAGAGCAACGTGGTGCAAAACGTACGGCGCGCTGTCCTGCTGTGTCTATCAAGGCCGTAGCCATGGAGTCAACATTGGGGGGGAACAAATCTCCCAGGGGGTCTAGGCGCCCCCCCCCCCAGAAAAAAATCTAAATTTTAAAACAAATCTGCCATTGCCTGTCTAAAATATTTTAAAAATTCACTAACACATGGGATGGACTGTTTGTTTTACAATAATGTCTAATAGTGTATTGCATTGCTCTGTTTTTTCTTTTTTACCTTTTCTTGTTTCATTCTGTGTAATGACAGAGATTAGGGATTTATAAAGTACAACCATAACCACAATCATATAAACAGAAATCTATGCATTGTTATATGAAGACAAGTCCAGATATTGTGGCCAAGGTTTAGCAATTTTTTGTTTTTATTTACATAGCATAGAATTTTTTTTGAAAAAAATATTGTTTATAGCAATATATTGTGGGGGACATTTTTAACATATTTGAAAATTGGGGGGGGATGTGTCCCCCCCAATATATATTATGATTACGGCCTTGGTGTGCATCGTGGGCTACGCGCGTTTCATCCGGCCGTGTCTCATCACAGGATGAGGACAAAGAGGCGGAGACGGCACCCGGAGCGGACGAGGCTGCACCACAGGCAAGGACAAGATCTCTTGAGACATTACACTCGACCTCACTCACACGCACGCACACACACACGCACACGGGTCGTGTGCGTGCGTGTGTGTTACACACACACAACACGTTAGCGTAGCGGTCAGCGCGCTGCGCTACGAACCCGGCGGCCCGAGTTCGATTCCCGCTCACGGCCAACTCAAGTTACGATTATCTGAACCGGTCCCGGGCTTCCCCGAGGTCGACTCAACCTCAAATAAGTAGCTGGTGCGTTGGATAAACATCGCCACTGGGGTGACAAAGGCGGCCGGGCGTGGTGCTAGCCACCCACCGCCCTCGCGTGCCTTACCAGCCTTCATAGGTGCTCGCCAACAGCACTTGCCCCAACACCTGCATTATTGGTTTTAGCACCTCCGGTGTTATTCTGTTTTCATCATCTCGATACCGGCCAAAAAGGGTCCCACAGATAAAACACAGAAACTGTGGTCTTGAAAATGGTGAACGTCCTCACCTCGTGTGATTGTGCGCTGGACAGCGCGGCAACGCAAAGCTACTCGTAAATGAAAAACCGTTCTGGTTCTTTTTCGATCTCTTACAGGAGTAGTAAAGTTCCGCGGAATCTGCTGCTCGTGCCGCCCGTGCCGCCCATTTGACGTCTGGGGGATGCGTTCGTCGTCGCTGTCACCACGCAGAGTTGCTCAGCGCCACCACGCTCAGCATCTCGCCCGTTCAGCACCACCACGCTCAGCACCACCACGCTCAGCACCACCACGCTCAGCACCACCACGCTCAGCGTCTCGCCCGCTCAACACCACTCCACTCAGCACCACCACGCTCAGCACCACCATGCTCAGCACCACCACGCTCAGCACCACCACGCTCAGCACCACCACGCTCAGCGTCTCGCCCGCTCAACACCACTCCACTCAGCACCACCACGCTCAGCACCACCACGCTCAGCACCACTCCACTCAGCACCACCATGCTCAGCGTCTCGCCCGCTCAACACCACTCCACTCAACACCACTCCACTCAGCACCACCACGCTCAGCACCACCACGCTCAGCACCACCACGCTCAGCGTCTCGCCCGTTCAGCACCACCACGCTCAGCACCACCACGCTCAGCACCACCACGCTCAGCACCACCACGCTCAGCGTCTCGCCCGCTCAGCACCACCACGCTCAGCACCACCACGCTCAGCACCACCACGCTCAGCACCACCACACTCAGCACCACTCCACTCAGCACCACTCCACTCAGCACCATCACGCTCAGCGTCTCGCCCGTTCAGCACCACTCCACTCAGCACCACTCCACTCAGCACCACCATGCTCAGCGTCTCGCCCACTCAGCACCACTCCACTCAGCACCACCACGCTCAGCACCACCACACTCAGCACCACCACGCTCAGCACCACCACGCTCAACACCACTCCACTCAGCACCACTCCACTCAGCACCACCACGCTCAGCACCACCACGCTCAGCACCACCACGCTCAGCACCACCACGCTCAGCACCACCATGCTCAGTGTCTCGCCCGCTCAGCACCACTCCACTCAGCAACACCACGCTCAGCACCACCACGCTCAGCACCACCACGCTCAGCACCACTATGCTCAGCGTCTCGCCCGCTCAACACCACTCCACTCAGCACCACCACGCTCAGCACCACCACGCTCAGCGTCTCGCCCGCTCAACACCACTCCACTCAGCACCACCACGCTCAGCACCACCACGCTCAGCGTCTCGCCCGCTCAACACCACTCCACTCAGCACCACCACGCTCAGCACCACCACGCTCAGCACCACCACGCTCAGCACCACCACACTCAGCGTCTCGCCCGCTCAGCACTACCGCGCTCAGCGTTTCGCATGTTCAGAACCACCGCGGCTGAGCGCCACCGCCCTCAGCTCGTCACAATAAACTATCACAGCATTCGCCGTGGACCTGGTCTCTGCTTGCAATGAATTTCCTTTTAAAGAGCACCGCTGCATTTGCTCGTTTGGAAGATGGCTTACTTCCAATAGCATCGAAAGCGCCTCGAACCTAAGCGATTACTTCAAAGTCACTTTGAAGTAAACACTCTAACTTGTGGGACTATTTTCCCGTGGTATGCAGTTGGCATCAGCACGAGTACTGGCACACAGGGTCACCAGTTAGAAAGTAAGTAGCGAATTATTCAGACCACGGACGTAGCCTTTGAGTCAGCCTCAGCGTTTGGCTTCAAATGCTGCGATATATCCCCGATCTTCTTGTGCCTTCCCTTTGCAACCAGGGACGGCTCCACCCGTCCATGCAGGCGATCTAAAGCGGTCGCCTTGGGCGCCAAGTTAAGTTGAGGGCGCCAAATTCGAGGGGAAAAAATATACAAATACAAAAAAGACAAATAAAAGAACGAAAGATGTCATTGTCAATTCCCGTGCGCGTACAGCTGGAATATGAATGATAATGAATTTCTTAACGTTTCTGAGAATGTATTGGTTGGACAGACGGACGGGCGGACAAACCGAATAATCATTCCTCTGTTTAAAAAGATACGCCTTCAAAAACACATGAAACGGAAAATAGGGGGCAAACTGTTTCCCAGTCTCCCAAAAACCTCGGCCTAGATCTGTTCTTGTAGGTGCGGGGGCGCCGATTGCACGGTCTGCCTGTAGAGAGGGGAGTACGACTCCAGATTGTTACAGCATGGACAGATGGTTTTGTTTGAGGGCATTTGGTAACTATTCAGGAACGAGCTTTCCCAACACCTCCCGCTGTTGTTCGGCCTCGTATGCTGGCGCATAGTGGCAGCAGTGGTACAGTGGTAGCACCCGTGCCTTGCAGCAGCAGCAGTAGCAAAAGAACATGCGTCTGGGTTCGATCCCGGGCTCTGTGTGGAGTTTGTGTATTCTCTCTCTCTGTTCTGAACGGGGTTTTGTCCAGGATCGCCGGTTTCCTCTCCCTAGCTAAAGAGACAAACTAACAATGACATTGCTACTGGCCAAACATCCCAATGCTGAGACATTACCTGCAATTGACACGACTGGAATTATACACAGCAGCCGCAGCAGCATCAGCATCGCACCCTGACTGCAAAAAACATCACACACACACACACTTGGCAGGACCCTCCTGAAAAAGGGTCTTGAGACTCGGCGACGCTTTCCCGGGCAAACGAGCGTAATCACTAATAACAATAAAATACTATTGATGTTCACGCGTTTTTTTCTCGCTGTCCTTTGTGAACTGGGCAGTTGAATGGGAAACACAGCGAATGTCCCAAGCGAGGAGTCGGATTCACGCATGCAACATTAAGGCAGCGACTAAGCAAGTGATGGTCGCACCGGTCCAAGGCAGTGAAAGCATCTTCAATGAAGCATTTTCTGCACGTGTTGACTCTAGTTTGTATTTCGATTATTACCATGCACGCTACCTTACAGTATACACGACTGTAATGTGATGTAGCTGCTGGTTATATATGCGTATGCATATTCAACCAGCGCTTAACTTCAGCCGGAATAGTCTAGAACGCTGTTCGGGGAATAATTTCAGCGCCCCATAATCCATCTCATATTTCGATTTAAAGCTTTCGTGACTGCAATGATTCATCTTCTTTGGTTCTTTCGGTAAAGTCACGTAGAATGAGAATAAAATAATAAATTGATAAAATAAAATAACACAATAATATTCTCACGACGTTTCGGCCACAACACAAGCGGCCTTCATCAGGTGAAGGGACGAGACTGTCTGGTAGGACAGCGCTGGAGTGCCACAACACAAGCGGCCTTCATCAGGTGAAGGGACGAGACTGTCTGGAGGACAGTCTCGTCGCTTCACCTGATGAAGGCCGCTTGTGTTGTCTCGTCCCTTCACCTGATGAAGGCCGCTTGTGTTGTGGCCGAAACGTCGTGAGAATATTATTGTGTTATTTTATTTTATCAATTTATTATTTTATTCTCATTCTACGTGACTTTACCGAAAGAACCAAAGAAGACCATCTCATTATTATTTTGTCTTCACGATATAAACCTGTTCGTGCAGTTATAGGAAGGAAAAACAAATACAGCCGTATAGGAGTATATAAAATACCTTTGCACTCTAGTGGTAGTGCCTTACACCGACGGTCCCAACTGCCTGGCGGCCTGGCAGAGCGATGGAAATGATCTGGTGAGAACTTAAGCCCTGAGCTGACGCGCAACGGTGCAGCGAGTGCGGTGGCGTCGCGAGCCGGAGACTCGCTTGTTGCGGTATAACGCTTTGCCTGGGGAGGGGGGGGGGGTTGAGAGGCCGAGCTCTTGGAAGGACGCCCCGAGAATCTGGGCAATGTGTGGGGGCGGAGAAGGCGGGGAGACATTGCGTGGGTCGCGCGTGACACCCACGCGCTCCGCGAGTGGCGCGCAAGTGTGAAGCGGTGCGGGCGACGGAGTGTCGCAAAGCCACCGCTAACACGGCGGCGAAAAATAATAACGATGAATACCATTATTGTTGAATTACGACCGTAAGTTATGCATAGACGGACCCGCGGACGTGCGAACCGTGGAATTTCTAGCACTGGCTCGGGGCTGCGAGTGGAGCACAGCGCTGCACCACGCTCGATTCGAGCTGGAAGACAAGCAGCGCCGGCAAACGACGGCTTCCTGTTGGAATGCCTCAGTGGCGTAACGCATGCGCCTGTGAATTGAGAAATTAGCTGTAAATTTAATTACCGTTCGTATTAATAACTTCAGTAATGTATTGCCATCGAACGGTTTCCAGATGCGCGTCTGCGGCCGTCTGGAACGCTCTTCCGATCTTCGGAAGCCACTTGAGCTATGCACTTTTTTTTTACTTTAGACTGAAAACTCATTTATTTAGAACCGCTTTTTGTGTTTAGTCGTCCTTCCCCGCACCTCCGATTAGCGCGGTTCGCTACGTACGGTGTGAAAGAAGTTCAACATGCGTATATTATACAGCCTTTTAATCCACTCCAAGATAAAGGCTTCCCCATTCCGTGTCAGTTATAAGGGTTGTTTGCCCATACTTCACCACGATGGTCAGTGTGGGTTGCTGAAGGGGGTGGCCAGGATTACCACATATTATTTGGCACTCATGTTAGCTGTGGCCAGAAAATGAATTGAGGGTTCATAGCGACGAGGCACGCTCACCAGTGCTGTCCACCAGAGCTCAATCCGCTTAAGAAAGTACATGGGATTTGATTTGGACAACCAATTTATGGCATAGAAAATGTACGACATATAAAGTTTAAACGGCAACATTTATTAAATGTTTGAACGTCAACTTAGGTTTCCAGAAGACATGAAGTCATCGCCGCCCCATGTGTGTCCACTGATCGCCAACCGGTGACGACCCAAGGAAACTCTCTCCCCCCCCACCCCCACCCCATTGGCGACCCTCAACATTCTCCCTCTCAACTCGGCAGACAAGAAGTGCAATGCGAGGGAAACGGAAGCAACTCCCCCACCCCCCCCCCCTTCCCCACCAGAGACTCCGTGAACACCACGCCTGCTTTAGCAAAACGCCATGGACGGAATGAGGCACTTGTCAAGAGTAAGAATGTCTTTTAGAGATAAATGCGAATCTGCAGGCTCGCGTATCGGGACTTGCAGTGCCCGATACGCGAGCCGAAGCAATGTAGAATGGTTTCACGGGCAGCAAACGCGTTGGCAACACATAAGAGGCTGCTTCGGTTAAAAATGCACGGAACGCAGGTGGCACATTGAGTGCGGGCGTCTCTCGCTGTTTAAAAAAAAAAGTGCTGCTGCCCCCCCCACCCCCCCAAAAATGTAAATCGTTGCCACTGAACTTCACGGGGGGGGGGGGGGCAGAACAAGCTTGCACGTGCCAATGGACGGTACACGTTTGTGTGGATGCACTCAAAACGTAGAAGTCAGCCAGACTTCTTCGTTTAAGTCGCACGTTCAAAAAAATATAAAAAATCAACGTCCTCTGAAAAGTGTTCCTTGCATTCGCTTCAGGCCAGTGCAACGCATCGCACGATGTACGGCGAAGCCCATAGGAGACCGGGAAGTTATCTGGAGGGAGGTTTGCGAGTGAAATGCATTGTGGCCGTTATGGCATTTTGGACAGTGCTGCCGTCGACAGTGAGCAGCCTTCATCCAGCAGTGGATTTGGAATGGCTGAAAATTGGATACGTATGACAATATATGCATTTAATGTTAAGAGACTTTAAGCACATTGCTGAAATAATTTGTTTTTAAAAATAGCTTCTGTTGCTACACATTTTTGTAAATCCACACCAACACCCCAGCCACTTAAAAGGTTTGGAAACGCAAAAGACAAAACACACGTTTAAATGTGCCTCCAACTCTGCTGTAGCGTCCGAGTTGACAGTATTAATCGTGCTCGCAAAGTCATTGGTTGTGAAAGCATCAATGGCAGCCCAAGATTACACACAGCCTGGCATGATCAATGACAGTGTGCGAAGACGACAACACAGGTCTGACCAACTCGGTCCACCCACGAACGCAACAATGCACACCCAATAAAAATTGGCATCTGACAATGGCCTGGCCCATGTCCCCACAGTGACGGGTTGCATTAGTTTGAGTAATATTAAAGTGCAAAATGAAGCACAATCGTAAAAAAGAGAAAATATCGTAACATTTCTTTGGCAATATTTTAAACACCGTTATACTTTTGTCGAGACTGTATACGTGGAATTTTTTTTTTAAATTTAAAACGCGGATGACTTGGTCGCACCGGGGCAGAAGAAAGCAAGACGCAGTGTCGACATTTCCTGCGTCTGTCACGGGACGTATAAACGAGCATTCTATTTACTGTGTAGCTTCCTGCGTGGCGTGTTCTGGCAGGGGTCTGTGTACATTGTGCGGGAACCCGTCGAGTCTCAGCCTACAGGCTACACTTGCAGACGCGATAATCACTTCACTCCTAAACAGTGGCGATAACCCCACACCAACAGCTGACAGCCCACAGGTGACAATCGACACTACATTAGCCCTAAGGTACATCTTACGCTATTGTTGTTTATTTTGAAATGTGGCGTGGCTCATCCTTGAGGCCACAGTGGCTACAAGCATCCACTGTGCGGCAACGTATAACAGTGAAACTCCCACGTGGTCACCGTATCCATAGGGCAGTGGTTTAGAGAGATGCACGGAAAATCGCGTAACAAAAAAGTGAACCCAGGAATGACCGACCCTCGGCCCGTGCCATGGTCAATCTTAACTACTTCCTGCGCGTTGCACCGTTCAGAAGCTAAATGCCAACGGCCTGCTAGCCACGAGAGAGGGCTTCAAGGCGAAGTCTTAGCTCGTCATGCTAAAAGGTGCTGTGTGGGTTTTTGACACGTGGTGTTGTGCGAGTGTTTGACACGTGGTGCTGTGTGGGTGTTTGGCACGCCGGCGTTTGGCAGCGTGGTTGGTGTGCAGGCGTGTGAGTGTGGTTGTCCCGTTGTCTCGGGTGAGGGCCTTTAGAAGGTGAGGCCGGCCTCGTTGTAGACACGGAACACTTTCTCGATGGCGTTGACGTACGCCGCCGTGCGCAGGTCCAGCCCCAGGTTGTACTTCATCGCCGTGCGCATGATTTGCTGTTGCAACGCACACGTTCACACATACGCGCACGTGCACACACACACGTGCACACACACGTGCACACACACGTGCACGTGGAAAACGTGGCACAGTTAAGCTTGGAGAGAAAAAAAAATATATATCATCAAACCTGTTTGCTTGTTTTTTTTACCCGCAGATAAACGATTAAACTATTGTTTTAGTTTAACAGGTAAGGTCCACTGAGCTGTATACCTCTTTTTCAGAAGCAACCTAGCCACAAATGCTAGCTCGATGAAGTGGCTTTTCACGTGGCAATTTAGAGCAGCCAAATACTCTAAACGCATGTTTATAACATGCTCACAAGAAGGCGCACTGACCACGGGGAGAGAGATATGCAAACTCTATATATAAAGGCACCAGGGTTGGGATTGAACCCTCCTGTAAGCGACCGTGGCACCCACAGTTTCTACATAGTCAGAACTGCTTGCCTTAACATTCATAGGCACGTAATAAGTCTCCAGCCCCAGCGACTTTGTGAAATATCACAATGTGAGTTGCATTTGTACAGATCAGCCTACGTGTTAAACTAGCGTCCAACAGGTTTAAGATTATCATAACTTGCAAGATAATGTATTCTCATACCCACAACTCAATGTGCTATTATGAACGCAGGAATCGACTGCAATAAGTGGATCGATGGCTTGTCGCATACATCATAATTTCACACACGTCACATATATGCAGCCAGCGAAGGATGTTTCCACCGCTTGATAATTACGTTCATGATGATGTAATGAGAGCGTCTGAAGGATACATGACTCAAACTGCACGTGACGCGGCTGACTGATGGGAAGTTCTCCCTCTGCTTGATCACCACCACAGGGCACTTGGGATGTAGGGGACTCAGGATGAAGGGGACTCAGGATGTAGGGGGCTCAGGATGTAGGGGACTCAGGATGTAGGGGACTCAGGATGTAGGGGACTCAGGATGTAGGGGACTCAGGATGTAGGGGACTCAGGATGTAGGGGACTCATGGTGTAGGGGACTCAGGGTGTAGGGGACTCAGGATGTAGGGGGCTAAGGATGTAGGGGGCTAAGGATGTAGGGGACTCAGGATGTAGGGGACTCAGGATGTAGGGGACTCAGGATGTAGGGGGCTCAGGATGTAGGGGGCTCAGGATGTAGGGGACTCAGGATGTAGGGGACTCAGGATGTAGGGGGCTCAGGATTTAGGGGGCTCAGGATGTAGGGGGCTCAGGATGTAGGGGGCTCAGGATGTAGGGGACTCAGGATGTAGGGGGCTCAGGATGTAGGGGACTCAGGATGTAGGGGACTCAGGATGTAGGGGGCTCAGGATGTAGGGGACTCAGGATGTAGGGGACTCAGGATGTAGGGGGCTAAGGATGTAGGGGACTCGGGATGTAGGGGGCTAAGGATGTAGGGGACTCAGAATGTAGTGCACATATTCCAATTGCCTACCACACATCCCCCCCACCCACCCCAAAATATATTTAGATGGCATTGAATGTAGTTGAGGATTTTTTTGTATGTCATGAATGTAAAATTGTCAGGATATAATTCAACATTTTAATGTAATTTTCATTTTATACACATTTAATCGTGCAAGACGAAAACACAATTTATATGCTACTACTTTTGCTTCGTTAAACTTTGTACTCTGGTGGAAACAAGAATCATCCTGCGATTTGTATTCTTTTTTGCGTGTGTGTCACTGATCATCGATCCCACAACCTCCACCTCCCACCACCGCCCCCCCCCCGTACCGCCCCCTCCGCTTGTGCTTACTCACCCTTGCGGAGCGCTCCATCGTGTAGGCCAGCCCCGAGTGGACAATGTCCTTCTCTGAAGCACCCTGGGAAGCACGAGGAACAGGGGGCCACACGGCGAAGGAAACACGGCTGAGCGGCAGCAGACACCGCAGCAAAAACATCCTCGCGACCACCCACCGGCTTCGTAGGATAGACGTGAACCCCGGTTTAACTCTATTGTAATAGCGGAGCAGTGCGCGTGCCCACGTAAGTACACATTCACATGATGACGAATGGCTTTAAACGTGCAAAAAGAAATATGGCTACGAAGCGATGGTTTTAACCGAGCGAACACTGACAATTTTACGTGCCTTATCGATCTCTCGCTACACATGTTGCTGACAGAAACGTTTCAAAGATTTCTCAGCAGAAGAAGATAAATGAGTCGGTGACGATACGTGTTAACAATCGACTATGCAACAAGCTTCGACTGACAAGTCTTAAACCACTGTTGTGGATTTGTACATGTGTACATGCGCAGCCCTTTTTTGTCAATAGGCCACGAGACAAGAGCCGGCCGTGGTAGTTATTTGATCGTATTTCACCACGCTGGTCAGTGACGAAGGTGGAAGGAGGGGGTGGGCATAGATGTAGCAGTATAGCACAGTATAATAAGACATTTTCTGTACTGCCCTCTGCTGACAAGGTAAACCCACGGCAGCCTACAAGACCTGTTTTACACATGGGTATTATAATAATTATTGTGTTAGGGCCTTGCATACGAATGCCGTGAGGTTCGTTGTGCCAGGAGGCTTCAGCAGAACCACCGTCGTCGCCGTGAGTTTGTTGTCTTTCCCCCGCACCTCCGATTAGCACGGTTGACGACGTACGGTTCAACACACATACAACAGACGTGGCTCTTCACCGGCGCCTACGGGGCCATTGTGTGACCGAGTAGAGCGGCAGGGCGGGGGTTTGGTAAAGGGGGGGGGGGGCGGCTTCCCTCCGCTGAGACACTCACGGCGATCCGCGCCTGGAAGTCTTCGGTGGGCACGATGGGGATGCTTCCTTGGTGCTTCCCGAACTTTCGCTCGATGCTTTCTTGTACCGAGTCTGCGAGGTATCGGTGAAAACACAGACACACGTTTTTATAAACTAAAAGAAAATTCCCCCGTGTAGCCTTAACAGACTGATGGGGCAAGTGCTGTTAGCGAGCACCTATGAAGGCACAGCACACGAAGGGCTGGGTGGCCTGCACCAACCCTGGCCGCCTTTGTCTCCCCAGTGATGTTTTCACACCCCACCAGGTACTCATCTGAAGCTGAGTCGACCTAGGGGAGGCCCAGACCAGTTCAGATATGCGTCACTGGTATTGGCCGTGAATGGGAATTGAACTCGGGTCCCCAGGTTCGTGCACAACGCACTAACCGCTACATTACCGCTCCCCACCGGTGAGCACACACACCTGTACATTAACACAGACACTTACACATACATACACACGCACGCACGTTCACAATGGTGCGAAACTAAAGCTTGCCCATGGAGGTCGCTTGAGCCGACTGCCCCAGCACTAATCAGTGAGGGTTGGCCATGGGTGAGGGGTCCAGGAAGGGTTCAGATACCACTCGAATTATACACAGCAGCCGCAGCAGCATCAGCATCGCACCCTGACTGCAAAAAACATCACACACACACACACTTGGCAGGACCCTCCTGAAAAAGGGTCTTGAGACTCGGCGAAGCTTTCCCGGGCAAACGAGCGTAATCACTAATAACAATAAAATAATATTGTTCACGTGTTTTTTTTCGCTGTCGTTTGTGAACTGGGCAGTTGAATGGGAAACACAGCGAATGTCCCAAGCGAGGAGTCGGATTCACGCATGCAACATTAAGGCAGCGACTAAGCAAATGATGGTCGCACTGGTCAAAGGCAGTGAAGGCATCTTCAATGAAGCATTTTCTGCACGTGTTGACTCTAGTTTGTATTTCGATTATTACCATGCACGCTACCTTACAGTATACACGACTGTAATGTGATGTAGCTGCTGGTTATATATGCGTATGCATATTCAACCAGCGCTTAACTTCAGCCGAAATAGTCTAGAACGCTGTTCGGGGAATAATTTCAGCGCCCCATAATCCATCTCATATTTCGATTTAAAGCTTTCGTGACTGTAATGATTCATCTTCTTTGGTTCTTTCGGTAAAGTCACGTAGAATGAGAATAAAATAATAAATTGATAAAATAAAATAACACAATAATATTCTCACGACGTTTCGGCCACAACACAAGCGGCCTTCATCAGGTGAAGGGACGAGACTGTCTGGTAGGACAGCGCTGGAGTGCCACAACACAAGCGGCCTTCATCAGGTGAAGGGACGAGACTGTCTGGTAGGACAGCGCTGGAGTGCTGTCCTACCAGACAGTCTCGTCCCTTCACCTGATGAAGGCCGCTTGTGTTGTGGCCGAAACGTCGTGAGAATATTATTGTGTTATTTTATTTTATCAATTTATTATTTTATTCTCATTCTACGTGACTTTACCGAAAGAACCAAAGAAGACCATCTCATTATTATTTTGTCTTCACGATATAAACCTGTTCGTGCAGTTATAGGAAGGAAAAACAAATACAGCCGTATAGGAGTATATAAAATACCTTTGCACTCTAGTGGTAGTGCCTTACACCGACGGTCCCAACTGCCTGGCGGCCTGGCAGAGCGATGGAAATGATCTGGTGAGAACTTAAGCCCTGAGCTGACGCGCAACGGTGCAGCGAGTGCGGTGGCGTCGCGAGCCGGAGACTCGCTTGTTGCGGTATAACGCTTTGCCTGGGGGGGGGGGGGAGGTTGAGAGGCCGAGCTCTTGGAAGGACGCCCCGAGAATCTGGGCAATGTGTGGGGGCGGAGAAGGCGGGGGAGACATTGCGTGGGTCGCGCGTGACACCCACGCGCTCCGCGAGTGGCGCGCAAGTGTGAAGCGGTGCGGGCGACGGAGTGTCGCAAAGCCACCGCTAACACGGCGGCGAAAAATAATAACGATGAATACCATTATTGTTGAATTACGACCGTAAGTTATGCATAGACGGACCCGCGGACGTGCGAACCGTGGAATTTCTAGCACTGGCTCGGGGCTGCGAGTGGAGCACAGCGCTGCACCACGCTCGATTCGAGCTGGAAGACAAGCAGCGCCGGCAAACGACGGCTTCCTGTTGGAATGCCTCAGTGGCGTAACGCATGCGCCTGTGAATTGAGAAATTAGCTGTAAATTTAATTATCGTCCGTATTAATAACTTAAGTAATGTATTGCCATCGAACGGCTTCCAGATGCGCGTCTGCGGCCGTCTGGAACGCTCTTCCGATCTTCGGAAGCCACTTGAGCTATGCACTTTTTTTTACTTTAGACTGAAAACTCATTTATTTAGAACCGCTTTTTGTGTTTAGTCGTCCTTCCCCGCACCTCCGATTAGCACGGTTCGCTACGTACGGTGCGAAAGAAGTTCAACATGCGTATATTATACAGCCTTTTAATCCACTCCAGGATAAAGGCTTCCCCATTCCGTGTCAGTTATAAGGGTTGTTTGCCCATACTTCACCACGATGGTCAGTGTGGGTTGCTGAAGGGGGTGGCCAGGATTACCACAGATATTATTTGGCACTCATGTTAGCTGTGGCCAGAAAATGAATTGAGGGTTCATAGCGACGAGGCACGCTCACCAGTGCTGTCCACCAGAGCTCAATCCGCTTAAGAAAGTACATGGGATTTGATTTGGACAACCAATTTATGGCATAGAAAATGTACGACATATAAAGTTTAAACGGCAACATTTATTAAATGTTTGAACGTCAACTTAGGTTTCCAGAAGACATGAAGTCATCGCCGCCCCATGTGTGTCCACTGATCGCCAACCGGTGACGACCCAAGGAAACTCTCTCCCCCCCCACCCCCACCCCATCGGCGACCCTCAACATTCTCCCTCTCAACTCGGCAGACAAGAAGTGCAATGCGAGGGAAACGGAAGCAACTCCCCCCCCCTTCCCCACCAGAGACTCCGTGAACACCACGCCTGCTTTAGCAAAACGCCATGGACGGAATGAGGCACTTGTCAAGAGTAGAAATGTCTTTTAGAGATAAATGCGAATCTGCAGGCTCGCGTATCGGGACTTGCAGTGCCCGATACGCGAGCCGAAGCAATGTAGAATGGTTTCACGGGCAGCAAACGCGTTGGCAACACATAAGAGGCTGCTTCGGTTAAAAATGCACGGAACGCAGGTGGCACATTGAGTGCGGGCGTCTCTCGCTGTTTAAAAAAAAAAGTGCTGCTGCCCCCCCCACCCCCCAAAAATGTAAATCGTTGCCACTGAACTTCACGGGGGGGGGGGGGGGGGGCAGAACAAGCTTGCACGTGCCAATGGACGGTACGTTTGTGTGGATGCACTTAAAACGTAGAAGTCAGCCAGACTTCTTCGTTTAAGTCGCACGTTCAAAAAAGATATAAAAATCAACGTCCTCTGAAAAGTGTTCCTTGCATTCGCTTCAGGCCAGTGCAACGCATCGCACGATGTACGGCGAAGCCCATAGGAGACCGGGAAGTTATCTGGAGGGAGGTTTGCGAGTGAAATGCATTGTGGCCGTTATGGCATTTTGGACAGTGCTGCCGTCGACACTGAGCAGCCTTCATCCAGCAGTGGATTTGGAATGGCTGAAAATTGGATACGTATGACAATATATGCATTTAATGTTAAGAGACTTTAAGCACATATTGCTGAAATATTTTTTTTTTAAATAGCTTCTGTTGCTACACATTTTTGTAAATCCACACCAACACCCCAGCCACTTAAAAGGTTTGGAAACGCAAAAGACAAAACACACGTTTAAATGTGCCTCCGACTCTGCTGTAGCGTCCGAGTTGACAGTATTAATCGTGCTCGCAAAGTCATTGGTTGTGAAAGCATCAATCGCAGACTAAGATTACACACAGCCTGGCATGATCAATGACAGTGTGCGAAGACAACACAGGTCTGAGCAACTCGGTCCACCCACGAACGCGACAATGCACACCCAATAAAAATTGGCATCTGACAATGGCCTGGCCCATGTCCCCACAGTGACGGGTTGCATTAGTTTGAGTAATATTAAAGTGCAAAATGAAGCACAATCGTAAAAAAGAGAAAATATCGTAACATTTCTTTGGCAATATTTTAAACACCGTTATACTTTTGTCGAGACTGTATACGTGGAATTTTTTTTTTTAATTTAAAACGTGGATGACTTGGTCGCACCGGGGCAGAAGAAAGCAAGACGCAGTGTCGACATTTCCTGCGTCTGTCACGGGACGTATAAACGAGCATTCTATTTACTGTGTAGCTTCCTGCGTGGCGTGTTCTGGCAGGGTTCTGTGTACATTGTGCGGGAACCCGTCGAGTCTCAGCCTACAGGCTACACTTGCAGACGCGATAATCACTTCACTCCTAAACAGTGGCGATAACCCCACACCAACAGCTGACAGCCCACAGGTGACAATCGACACTACATTAGCCCTAAGGTACATCTTACGCTATTGTTGCTTATTTTGAAATGTGGCGTGGCTCATCCTTGAGGCCACAGTGGCTACAAGCATCCACCGTGCGGCAACGTATAACAGTGAAACTCCCACGTGGTCACCGTATCCATAGGGCAGTGGTTTAGAGAGATGCACGGAAAATCGCGTAACAAAAAAGTGAACCCAGGAATGACCGACCCTCGGCCCGTGCCATGGTCAATCTTAACTACTTCCTGCGCGTTGCACCGTTCAGAAGCTAAATGCCAACGGCCTGCTAGCCACGAGAGAGGGCTTCAAGGCGAAGTCTTAGCTCGTCATGCTAAAAGGTGCTGTGTGGATTTTTGACACGTGGTGTTGTGCGAGTGTTTGACACGTGGTGCTGTGTGGGTGTTTGGCACGCCGGCGTTTGGCAGCGTGGTTGGTGTGCAGGCGTGTGAGTGTGGTTGTCCCGTTGTCTCGGGTGAGGGCCTTTAGAAGGTGAGGCCGGCCTCGTTGTAGACACGGAACACTTTCTCGATGGCGTTAACGTACGCCGCCGTGCGCAGGTCCAGCCCCAGGTTGTACTTCATCGCCGTGCGCATGATTTGCTGTTGCAACGCACACGTTCACACATACGCGCACACACACGCGCACACATACACGCACGTGCACATACACGTGCACACACACGTGCGCACACACACGTGCACACACACGTGCACGTGGAAAACGTGGCACAGTTAAGCTTGGAGAGAAAAAAATATATATATCATCAAACCTGTTTGCTTGTTTTTTTTACCCGCAGATAAACGATTAAACTATTGTTTTAGTTTAACAGGTAAGGTCCACTGAGCTGTATACCTCTATTTCAGAAGCAACCTAGCCACAAATGCTAGCTCGATGAAGTGGCTTTTCACGTGGCAATTTAGAGCAGCCAAATACTCTAAACGCATGTTTATAACATGCTCACAAGAAGGCGCACTGACCACGGGGAGAGAGATATGCAAACTCTATATGTAAAGGCACCAGGGTTGGGATTGAACCCTCCTGTAAGCGACCGTGGCACCCACAGTTTCTACATGGTCAGAACTGCTTGCCTTAACATACTACAATTCATAGGCACGTAATAAGTCACCAGCCCC